ACCGGTTCATTTGCATAGTAGTTTATGTTTAAAACTATATTTTGAATAAAGCAGGTATCCATAATCCCTCAATTCTTATTTTCATGTAAGGGTACCTAGACTACCTCGAACCCTATATAAGAGGGGAGATACCTAAGTAACCTCAAATTCTATATACGCGAAGTGGCTAACAGTTCTCAAGTCTTATACGCTCGGTTGCATAGTGTACTTCAAGTCTCACATAAGGGAAGTATCCAAGACTGCTCAAGAGTGGAGATCAGGGACCGTTGATTAGTATATCATCGTAGCATATACAAAAGGAAATTATCATACGAGAATAACAGAAAAGTTTTATCTGACTACACAAAATTCTTTATGCACCAAATAATGTTTTCAAAATGCAAGATTTATTGATATTAGTGACACTTCATGTATAGCAAAGAGCAAAATTATCGGAATAATGTTCAATATAGAACGTTTCAAACAAGAATAACACAGATGTCGTACGATTGAGAATTGAAAAATGGTATATATCAAAAAGCTCTGATAGTTTGTATGATTTTGCAAAGATCAGGATGAAATTGTGATCGATAGTACTTTGAAGAAAAATCGTGATCGAAGTTAGATTCTTCTGTGTATTTTTAAATAAAATATTTTTTGTTACACTACATTATATTAATTGATAAATCAACATGCCAAGTATATATAAACTGATGGCTTCGTTTTCCAAAATAGTTCTTGTTTGTAAGACATTGATTGACAGAATCCCTTTAAAATTTTTTACAATTAAGAGTTTGGGATATTTTTTACAGACTTTCTCAACACAATCATAAAGAATCATAAACGAAAGACAGGTTTGATTTCGGTATGGATGTCACTACCATCACATACTTGATATTGGTCAATTTTGAAAAAACGATCGAACGAATTTTTGATTCATATTCACTGGATACAAAATAAAAATTTGTCTTTTCTTTGTGAAAGTAGTTTATTTCTCAAAAAGTTTCGTGATAAACAGTTTTTTTAGATTTAGGATTACATGCTTCAATCAATTATTGACTAACGTAAATTCGAAAAACTTCTCACTAGTTCAAAGTCATCTATATATAGTTGCCATTCTATTGATAATTTTACTATTTATTTGAGATTTTAGTTGATTCTCTTCCTATTAAGTTTTCTAGTTTTAGATAAACAATGAACTGTTCTTAAAGTGTTAGTTTTTGCATAAGATAGTTTCATCCTTTTTTTTTTCTTTTTTTCAAATGTTCTCATCATTTATCTATGAAAAACTACATATTATGCTATTTTTTTAAACTTTTTTAAAATATGTTTTATATATGCAACGCGACTTACGAGTAAAGGTTGATAATAAAAATGTTTATTAACTATAATTAACGAAAGATAGTTTTTAATAAACTAGTCAAGGCTTAATTGCGAGATATACCATCAAATAAACTATCAATATAATAGGGTTAAACTGAGCTGAATAACGATGATTTATCGCGAAAATTAGTTAAATAAGCTTTGACAACTGGTCATTTCTCTTGTTTAACGATTTACTTATTCTTTCGATATATTGCGATCAATTGATGACATATTAGTGATTACCAGGGTGTAGAAACAGTTGACAAAAATTGAAATCATTAGTACAATTACTGCCACTTTTGTTTGCTAATGGTCGCTGTCATTTGGATCCTCAACTTGATTTCTATCATCTCATTTTCGATCAAAGTCAGAATTAGAGAGAAACCAATTTTATTCAAGTCTCGTATTTTTCTTCATCGCTGCTTTAAACATTTTTCGGATGGTGAAGCAAAACATTTAGTTCAATTTCTATAGCCGCCGTATCAACTTTATCTGATATATATAAACGCAAATTTGGCGACAAAACTCGTTTAGATTTCTTTTACGCATATTGTTGTACACTTGTATTCGTATAGCTGTTGTTAACACTTGCGTTAACGTTGAGATTCGATTTCTGACTTATCTAATTGTTTAATAAAATTAGTATTCGATTTTTCAGAACAAAAACATTGTAATTTACACCCTTCTAAGCTCTAAAATCGGTAGCGTATTTTTTCTTAAACAAAAATTCGTATTTTGACATGTTCTAATAATTCTATTAATGTAAACTGCTTAGCTTTCTTCGATGAAATATTAATCAAGTGAGCAGAATTTCTAGCATATGTAGGCATATTATGCGTGTAACTGCTCAACAAGTTTTATGTACCTTTAGCCTCTTTGTATACTCTAGAAAGTCTCATACATATCATTTCCATGAGTATCCAATGTAATATGTGCTGTAATCTCTTTTGAATAGCTATAAAAGATCTCGACATCCAATCAATCGAAAAAAAAAGTTGTAAACAAATACTAAAATTATAAATCTTAGATTTTGAAACTCAAAACGGCGAGAACATATGATTGCGAATAGTTGAACATCAAAAATGTAATATAGACGAGTAAGAACGATTAATAGATACAATATCCGCGCTCCGATTCACATTGACTCGCACATCCACCGAAAAATGGATCTTGAGAGGAAGCGATACTATCAGATCATTGTCCACATCGGAAGTGTCTCTGTTTTCCTCAACAAAATGAAATCAAAAATGAATATATACTATCTTTAATGAACTTCAGAAAGTAAACCACTTAGAAACACGTACTTGTTGAAAAATCCTAAACCTACCATTTTATTCGTCTGAAACAGTAGGTTAGATTTCTTAGAATATTTTAAATAAAAGATTAGAATACTTACAAAACAGTTAGTATTACAGCGAGGAATTGTTTGTTATGTTCCAACACTAAGATTTTCACCGAAGTATACATAATGAGTACTGGAAAATCATGATGCTGGCATCGTTTTCCAGCATTTATACTGTGTGAACGCTCATTCGACGAGTGTGTTCAATAGAACTCTCAAGCTATAACTGAATTATACCTGTTCAATGGAATGTATACAGAACTTTTTTTTATGTTTAGAAAAAATTATCATGAAACACAAACAAAAAAGATCAAAAGCGGTTCGAGTTCTTCAGATTCTTGATAATGACGAATATTATGATAGTTCAACAACAACAACACATTCAACTAGTACCTTTTCATCATCAAATTCCAATAACAATAATCCAAAGCAATTAACACATAATAATAACAGTTTAACATCATTAACAGATACCATCAATTCAGCATCATCATTCAACAACAACACGACATCGTCATCATCATCATCCAACAACAACACAACATCATCATCATTCAACAACAACACAACATCATCATCTAACAATAGCAACAAAATAACTTCATCATCCAACAACAGCAATACTACAACTTCGTCATCTAGTAATACTGGTTCAACATCAACTTTATTATTGCCTACTAATATTAGTGGTCGCAAATCAACATCGAAAGTTTGGCTATATGCTATAAAAAGTGATGATGGTAAAATGGCTTCATGCTTACTATGTGATTATACTTGTACTATCGTCGACCATTCGACATCGACCATTCGTTACCATCTGATTCATGAACACGATAAATATGATTTGATTATTAAACGGCCATCGACATCTTCTTCTGAACCACATATTTCTGAACGTTTTAGACGAGATCTTCATGCTTTATGTTATCGTTCTATTATCATTGATCAACGACCATTTAATGACTTTCAGAAAGATGGAATAATGGCTATTTTCAACAAATTATGCCCAGGTAAGACAGAGTTTTCCATAAATAGCACACCTTCAACTTTGTCTTAGATGAATGAACGCCAGAGATGAGTGATTTTCTAACAGTAATACTCGTCTATTCGACCAATAAAGGAAAATTAAAGCTTTTGTGATAGTTCGAAAAATTTTTTTGTTAGAGAAAATGATGAAGTTAAGTTCAGATTGATATTAAAAACATCTGAGAGTTACTCATTAAAAGATGCAAAATAAGTTTCTGTACCACAAAGACTCTTATACCGTCACGCATAAAAAATGTAATTAGAGATTCCGAGAAATTTTTACAAGTGATTCATTTATAGAAAGAGAAGATTCGATACATTTGTTTTACCTTTGAAATATCTCGAAAAGATTTCTAAGCACAATGTGGAAACCTGATTTTAGTTTCCGCATGTTCGAACACATATTCTGTTCGGTCTTAGAAACGCCAGTTTATTTTGTAAAGCATGAAATTCCAACAATAAATAGACAAATAAATAAATATATGTACTTCAACGAATTATTATAAGGACGTTATCGAACTGGATGCTACTAACATGGGCATACACAAATCTAGACTTATCTCATATATTAATAAAAAATTTTAGGTGTAATTCCGGAGCAATCAATACTATGAAGTTTGTGCTTGCATCACAATGTCATGTACAACTACAAAATTCTATTTTTCTCGTACAGTTTTTCTTTAACTTGAAAGAACATGGTTGAAAAGTCAGCGTTGTTCATTTTGTTCTGATACTTAAAAGAGATCAAATTTGTGAGTAAAAATTACTGTAATATGAAAATATTCTTTTTTTCTGTAAAATAACTGTAATACAATCAAAATAATGATTAAGTGAGCTTTATAAACATAGACAATTACGTTATTAGTTCTATTCATGATGAGATTCTCAAGAATAAAAGTTTAAAAAGCATTAGTCTGATTTTTGTATACAAAATTTTGCATAATGGCACCATTATTGTTGGTAATTGGATTTATCTGTCTTTTCCTTCAGTAGTATAGATATATATGTGATCGCAAAACATACGAATTAAATTATTTGTTATCTACTCATGAGTTCGTATTGCGAGACTTTACCTGGAAGGTAAATAATTCTATGATTCTGGTTCATTCCACTGTAGTAGGTATCAAGTATTGGTATTAAGTTAACGTTCTCCTAAGCCCAACTGTTATTATTGTCTTTGAATGTATATAATTAATTTTCTAGGATATGTTCCACCACATCGCAATCAAGTGTCGAGTAAATTGAAAGATTTATATAAATATTATGCCGATCAGCTTAAAGATGAATTAAAAGAAGTTGATTATATTGGTTTAACATTAGATTTTTGGACTAATCGTCGTTCTATATCTTTCTTATGCATTACAGGACATTGGTTTAAAGACTCACCATTTGAATTTGTTTCAAAGATAATTCATTTTTCTTCTTTCGATGAACGTCACACTGCAACTAATATAGCACGATCATTAAAAGAAAAACTGATAAATCTGGAAATATATCACAAAGTTATTGCGATAACATGTGATGGTGCACAAAACTTAGTAGCAGCCTTAAACCAATTGGATGATTCGATAAAAAGAATTTGGTGTTGTGCACATAGATTACATTTAGTTGTGATTAATGGATTAGGTTTTTGGAAGAAAACTGATGATCATGATGACACCACATCTTCATCAACAAATCTTCCTACGACAATTATTACGTCTCCAGATGTTATTTCAAAGAACCAAGAAAATGCCATGGATATAAGCTGGTGCGATGAAGATGAACCTGGTAAATTATTTATTTCTTAAATAATGTTATTTAATCTTAAATCCAATTTTTTTTTATTTTGTCTCGAAATACTTTGTTTTCTGATTCTTTTATTAATTTTTCTTATTGAAAAGAGTTCACATATTTTTCCTACAGTTCTCTCTCTTCATGAGGCTCTATCTTGCTTTGACTGTAGATGATGTTAGAACATATCGTTATGATGTGGTAGTTTTCTGTCTATATTCATATAGAAAAACAGCGTTACCTTTACTTATGGACCAGTTTCGATGAAAGCATAAAATATAGATCAGATTTCAACATTCAGGTTTTTCAAATTGATTCTAGTGCTAATCAAGTATTTTTTCAGTATCAACATACAGCAATATACCAAAAGCGTCATATTTAATCATAAGATATTTCCTATAGTAATCATATTCGTACAGCGAATCTAACATCGAGTTTGACAGAAGCACGCAAAATGTAGTTTATTGATGGTCTGCTATTTCACTAACTGAAGCGAAAAAAAGGAAAATCAATTCCTGACCATATTTAAAGATCTTCTGTCTGATGTTACGTTTGTTAATTATATTTATTAAAGGGTCTTCTATTACGAGAAGGCGTGCTTTGACATAAACGCGTTAATGAAATATATCTAAGCTTTTAAGAGATTAAATATGGAAAATCTAGTCTTTTTGGCGTCTTTTGTTTCGAATAGCTACTGAATCATAATAACATTGTGTAATATAATAAGGGAATATACTACTAGAACAAGAGTTTAGCAATGTAAGGCCATTAAACTAATTTATTTTTTATTTTTAAAGACGATTTATCAAATCATGAACATGGTGGTGATGTAAATAATGGCAATATTGTTACAATGGATAGTGTTGAACTAAATAATAAATCTAAAGATGAATCCATTACCTTAAATAATCATCAGGAAGATATAGATGATTTAGAAAAAATTGATTTAATTGACGATAATTGGTCAACAACAATTGATACAAATATTGATTTAACAGAAGAAATCCAATTGATTGTAAATTTGTTAAAGAAATGTCGAAGCATTGCAAATGTATTGAAAAAATCAACTGTTTTATCAGCATTTATTCGGGCATATACTTTATTAATTCAAGTGAATAAAGCCATAAACATTGATTGTAAATCTCGTTGGAACTCAACTTATCTTTTACTCGAATCATTAATTGATAGTAAAGAAATTATTATTAAATTATTTAATGAAAAACGAACATTAAATTTACGAAAAGACCAACTTGATAAATTGTGTATGATTGAATTAAAAAGCCATGATTGGGAGTTTTTGACATCATTGAAGTATGTTTTAAAACCTTTCTTTGAAGCAACTAAAATGATGTCAGGAAAAAACTATCCTTCTATTGGACTTGCATATCATGGAATTCAAAAGATTTATAACTTCTGCTTGAATAATAAAAATAATAATGATCAAATAAAACTATTGAAAAAACTCTTATTATTCAAATTAAATCAATATTTTTACGATGATCCAGAACAGTATGAATACTTTCAGGTAAACATCTAATTATATAAAACGTGAATGAAACCAAAAATAATATATCAATAACCATGTTTGCCATTAACCCATTGCGCAGTCTAGTATAGTGATATATACCATATATTATTTCGAACTCTCATAATATAAGACTGTTTTTTAGGCATAGACCTCATACTGAATCCTTTAATATTTTTGAGTTGCTTATAATTTTCTTAACATTTATGAGTTAAAACAAGTTGTATATGATGTTTCAAATCGATAAAGTTCTTTGCTAAAGCGGAAATTTTATTTAAAATAGCTGTTAGCGCAATTCCTTGTGGGATTAAAAATGTGAAACACGATGTAGCTGCTATAGCCGATATTCTAAAAGCTGTTGTTCTTTTATGCATACTGATGTACATTTCTTGATAACGATTTACCTTACATTATAGACTTTCAACAGGATAGTACTCTATATATTGTCCAATCATATGTGAGTTATGCATCATCTCTGACATTTCCTTGAAGTCTTCTATCACAGTCTATAATAACCCCTGAGCCCTGTCTGGCACGGTCTGCGATGGGCCAGAGACTTGTCTGTCACAGTCTGTGATGAGTCATGTGAGTGTCTGTCACAGTCTGTGGGGGATGGCGGCGGGTGCAAATTTCTATCTCTAAACACTTCAACACACCTTTCAGATCGTGTTTCACAAAATGAAGTCTAAGTCTAGAATTGCATTTGGGGCAATAGGACAACTTCTCCAAAAGAACACGCAACAAAAATAGAGATACAAGTTGCGAGTTTTAACTAAATATATTTTTATGTTCGCCTAAATTTTTCTTCTACAAACATCAGATTTAGACACTAAAAATTTTAATTTTTTTATGTTTCAATATCCTACTAATGAATATGCCGATTGATTCTATAAAAATCGAAAACATTGATCATAGTTTGAAATTCCTTTTGCTACACTTTTTATTTTATTATTTCTAGCAACATGCTTTTTTTGATCCAGCTTCACATTTAAGCTTAACTGACATGGAAAAACAACAATGTGAACGATATGTTCAAAATTTAATAGTCAACGACATTTATCCCCAAAAAGAAATTTCAACTGATGTTCCAAGATCTTCATCTACAGCTGTTGCAAGTTCAACATCAGCAGCCGTTATTCAATCATTTTCATCATCTAATATATCGAAAAACGTATCCGCTTATGATGCCTTTATTGAAGCTTGCGAAGATCCAGAAGTTCAATTTAAAACAAGTAAAGCGAAAAGCAAACGAATAATGATAAACGATGGATTCAAATTATATAAAATTGCTATTCAAGAATTTAATTCAAACAATCAACCATCAACTACATCTGTATTGAATTTTTGGAAAAAATATCATATGCAACTTCCTCTTTTATTCAAGTTAGCGAAAATACATCTAGTGGTATGTAGTACAAGCGTGTCAAGTGAATCCACCTTTTCATCATCAGCTTATACAGCACGAAAAGAGCGTGCACGACTCTCACCCGAAAATTTATGCTATACAGTTTTTTTGAAAGATAAATTAGATAAATCCTGATCTTATTATTCGTGTTCTTATTGAATGTTTACAGCATTAGGTACTCTAATTTTTCGTTATATTTCTTGCTAGTCAATTCGATTGTATTTATTTCTTTGGATTTATTGTTCTATAGTATTATGTATACCTATTCATGTTCGTCTTGCAACTTAACGCGTACAATAATATTTATTTATTTATTTACACTTATTTATTTGTTTTATTTAATTATTTGTGTCATATCTTTCTATTACTCTATCATATACTTTTGTTTTTCATTTTTCTTTGCTTAACTTTTTTATGAAAACCCACTATATACTCATTTACTTGAACCATTTTCATTTTTTCGAAACTCTGCCTATGTGTCTATTGTTTACTCGTGTGCCTATATACTTTTTCATGAGAACTTATTTCTAACTTGTTTACAATGGCGATAAATCTCATTTTTTCTAAGGTTCTCATGTGCATCTAACTTATTCTAAGTATACACGTGTTTCAGAAATCATTGTAATGTTGAATCGGGTTTTTTCTCTTGTAAATACATATTCGAATATCTTTTCTTGTACTATGTATCACGCATCAACGGTTTCCTATTATCTATGAATAAACATTAAGAATAAAATATCTGTATTAAAACATTTCACAGATGGTAACAATTAAAACATACAACCTGGTAATTATTAGTTGATACGCAAAATTCAAGAATATCTGTTGAGTGATAGAAACAACTGAAGTTTTGTAAGATACAAAACAAAATTTGTATAGAATTAAAGGTCGTTCCAAATGAGATTCAGAAATATAAGTTGCTATGTTTAAAACAAAAATGGGCTGTAAGACTATTGAAAGTTTTAAAATTTCAAGCTTCAATACAACATTTTCATCTTTGTTAGCAATTCAAAAGAGTTTTCAGACGTTTCATTACCGGTTGAACTTTGAAAAGCTCTTTGGCCTGACCATTTTAACAATATAAATTCTACGATACTATTGATACGTCTGAAGATTCAAAACTATCGATGATTGTATAACCTATTTACATGCTAGTAGCAGTGAGTTGCAGATCAACATTTCATTTTTGACCGCTTCATGCTTAGGAAATCCAGCTTTATATCCTTTCTAGCCGTAGGTGTATCATCCAACCAATTGATTGCCACAACAATGTGTCTGATCAATGTGGGACTTTAGAGATGTTAGTTATTCTTCTCTGTATAGGACTTGAGAGAGCTTACGTATCCCTTACAAATAAAATTTGAGGTTACTTAAGTATCTCCCCTCTTATATAGGATTCGAGATAGTTTAGTTACCCTTACATGTAAATAAGAATGTGAGGGATTATGGATACCTGCTTTATTCAAAATATAGTTTTAAACATAAACTACCATGCAAATGAACCGGTAACCGGTTCAGACCGGTTACCGGTTCAACGGTTACCGGNATGAGAAAAAGACATAGACAGTGCATTTATTATTTTTTTCTTCGAAATTTTATAAATAGTTTCTCACCTTGCTCAGAAATCAGGTCAGACATAGACACCTTATATGTCGCATAAATGTTAGACGTGGTGCTTTCGAATCAACAATCTACATATAAACATTCATTAGATCATCAATTTATATAAAAGCGCGATTTTTTGTTTAAAACGGGAGCTGTAATAAATGGAGAGTGAATGTAGTCAACCAGTGGCAATAAAATATTTTGAGTTGCCTATTAGACATAACACTAAAATATATTGAGTTCTATGGGCATGATTCAACGCCTGGAATCAATATGGACTACGACAATATCCGAGTAAGTTTCGAAAAAATGATGCATTTTATTGGGCTCAAGATGTATTAATGCATTATAAATTGTTTAAACTTACGTAACAACGACACTTTAACGATAATATAGTGTTAAAATCGCGATATTACGAAATCTTAACAAGTTTTAATGCGCTTTTTTAAAGTCTGTTGTCTGCGCAGATTGTGGTGCTCAAATTTGAGAAAACTACTAGACTGCAGTGGTGTATGTAGAACGTTGAGAAATGGCTGATCGTGGTCGGGTGTGGGTGTGGGTGAAAACAAGACTTCTATCCACACCAACCCACACACAACCCATACCCACACCCATATGAAGGATTTTTCAGCACTGTTCATGTAAAGTGTTGTAAAGTTCTTAGAAGTAAGAAAGGTTACAGCGCCTAAAAGTGTTTTTTATCATAAGCGTCGGAAAGTGCTTATAAAAGCCCATTCTATGATGTATTAAGCGGCTTAGTTGATTAAAGCCGCTTTCAGCAGCTGAAAACCGCAATGTTTAAGCGCTTTAAAGCACTTAACTACAGTGTAAGCTTATTTAAGCCGCTTGAAAAGAGCTTACAAAGGCAAAATTTTTCACATGGGAAGCTTCATCAGCTGAATCAGAAAGACATTTTTCAGCCGGTGGAGTTATTGTTAATGAGAAAAGAGGTTGCTTGAGCGAGAGTTCAGTGGAATCATTAATTGTATTACGTGAAGCATATGTAAATAAAATGTAGCCTAAATGTAATACTAGTGCTGCGCTTGTAAATCGCGATGATCAAGAACAGCAGCCATAATCTATTACGAATATGGCTGATTGAGAAAATTTTACCTTGTTTTATATTTTTTTGTGTTACTTGAAAATTTAGTTTTTTTTGTTGATGGAAAGAAAAAATGACGGAAATAAATTGAAAAGATGTGATTTAGCAATAGAAACATAATAATTGATCCTATCCTAGAGTAATTATGAAAAAAAGAACATGAATGAATCGGATTCTTTGATATATATTGAATGACAAGCTGGTAAAAAAATTGTGCCGGTCTACCGGCCGGTCCGGTCCGGTCCGGTCTCACTCTTTAGACCGGTACCGGTACCGGTAAGGAAAAAACCCTACCGGTTCCATCTCTGCTGCACACTATCATCCTAAGTCGTCATCAGTTGATTTGTTAATATACTAATTAATTATGAACAGTGGCGCATGTACCCAGAACCAGATCTGATCCAAACTCCTTTGTAGTTATGAATGGATCAGATAATATTGGAATCGATGAAAATCAAAAGTTCCTTATAAAAATCTATAAATCACTGAACTTATATCTTATGATGAAACATGTTAAATTCACTTAAATGTTGGTAAAGAAAAGATAATAAATCGATTGGGTGAATCGAAATCAGCCAGCAGTATCAATTTAATATCTGTTAATCTGTGATTATGGCGTTATAAATACTCTCCCTAGTCTTAGATACCTTCATAATAAGTTATTAAAATCAACTACTTAAACAGATTATACCAAATAAATTCATTTACCTTCTCTTCCAGCTTCGTTGAGTATCGTATGTATAAGAGAAATCTCTTACTTTTCGAATGATTTATTTCTGAGTCTTTGCTTCTTAATCTTTTTTGTCTTTCGTTGAATTCTTTTCAAACATCAAAAAGATTGGAGAGAATTGCACAAAGAAACATAAAAACATTCAAAATACAAAAACAAAAGACGGTTGCTTATTGTAAACAAAAACAAGTCATGTTTATAATTAAAAATTCAGTTCCTTAGAAATATATACCATCTTTTATACTTCAATAAATAAACCTTGCATAATTATGGATATCAGACAAGTGGTCTGCAAACTAACAAAAAGTAATAAATTTCGATATTATTACTATTTTGTGTGTTGAATTTATATTTTAGAGCATTTGACTTAGTTACTAGGTAAAATATAAAATGACAAATAAATTTTTTGGAGGACAGTTTAATATGAATACACAAATGGAAATTTAGAGTCTGTTATTTGGAATGCCAGCATCTAAAGCAAGAATCTTTTTGGATACGTTTTAAAAGAGAAGAAAAACAACTTTTTAATAAAGGCATCAATTCAGACATATCAAAAAATAATATTTTGGTAATGTCTTGAAGGTGTCGGTGTGGACGCTCATTTCATCCACACCTTGCATTATACACTCACCCTGGGTGAGGCCAGTATTTGAACATATTCTCATTCTGATACTTAATGAGGTGATTTTTTTATGATTAGTATTGTTATCATTAGTAATATGAACAAGACAACAATAAGTCTTTTCAATAAGTCAATTGATGATCATCGTTTAATTTTTACGAGCGGCTGGAAAAAAAATAGCGGATTTTTTTCTTGATGAAATTCAGGGTTTTCTGCGTTGAAACTTTAGTCGTTATATAAATGCGAGAACTCTAGCATTAGTATGATGTAGATGAAGAAAACTATGTTCATAATAAGTTGAACCATTGATACTATGAATATTTGTTCTTTTCAATAAGTTAAAAGATGATATAAATTATCACAAATATAGTTGGCAAATAATGAAAAAGTTTGGTCTGTATTTTGTTTTAAACATGCTCGTAGTTTTTAATTTTTTTGTATTGATGGACCACTAGGTTTCTCAGATTCGACAACGGCATCGAAGACACTCGCTTCCTAAATTAATTCAAAAGCAACCAAAAAACAACATTGTTATTTCACTGTATATTTAATACCTTTGTATAAACACGAAATATTATTCCGCAAATAAAAACTTGTCCATGACCTTCACTGAATTGTGTTTGTGTTGAGTTTCTTCTGAAAATGCAATAACAAGTAAACAAGAAAAATCAACAAAAAAGTACATCAGCAACAACCAAACGAAGGAAGTGAAAATGCACGCCAATGAATTTATATTATTATTACCAACTTACTTTTTTTTCTTCTGTTTCTATTTGCACAGTAATTGACAGTGGGCAGATGTAATACGGTGAAAAAGCAATGATGAAAAAAGCCGACGTTGAATTGTTTTCTTTCAATGTGATTAATTCTGTCTGCATCTGCATTTCTTTTGTTATCGACATGTTTCAATCAACAGGAATTCGAGATTTTGGGACGCTTCTTTGTCCCAATAGAAATAAGGCATTACAGAAAATCGGAATAAAACTAGGAAAATGAACTTTCCCAATGATTGGATTTGGGTGTGGATGATGTTGTTCCCTATGATAATACCAAGCATGTTCACTCACACTGCACACTCAGTTTCGTCATATTTGTTATTTTTACTCTGGATAAAATGAATTTAAGGATTATACTTCGCTAGCTGTTGTTGCAGGATTTCTGGCTTTACGTACATATCCATAGATCTCAAGCTGAAGACTAAACGCTGATTCTCTATGTTGACGAGCTATTCATCGACTAGTGAAACTCGAAGCTGATTACAGATACGTTTACTGTTTCTCAACAGTTTCACATTGTCACTTCTTTTATCTCTGCACCAAATTTTCTAAAGAGAGTACAAAATAAAATAATTCTGTGCCAGTCTACATAGAAAATGAGACGTGTGGATGTGTTTGAATAAAATAGAATAAATCTACAAATCAAAAACTAGCAAGAGGCGTTTCGATTATCGCTCAGATAATATTATTATAGACTTTTGTTCCCGTTTAATTATGCTGAGTTCGCTTTCTATTTTATTTCATGCTTGAAATGAATTCTATATGCGAAACGGAAGCATTGCATTGTCTTTTACATTATTGGCAGAAAAAGAAACTTGTAAGTAACAATTTTCAAAGACTCAAAGCTTTTATATATATTCAACAAATATAAGAAGTGAACAAGACCGAGAGAAAAGAAGAAAAGATTTTCGATTTCAGTCATTGAATAAATATTCAAAGTTCAGTGATTAAGTCATTGGTGTTTTTTTTCGTTGAGCTGATTCTTCGGTTGGTTGCATTTTGGCCAGTATATCTCTTGAAGACTTTTTGTGTATGAGTAGACTTTGTAGCGTACGATTCAGAATGGTTTCTAGAATAAGTCGTGTGTTTTTTAAACGTGACCGAGGATAAACGAAGTATTTTTGCCATATGCGACGAAATTCTTTTTAAAATTTAATAATGATCCGTTTTCAAATGTATCAAGACGATAAATTTGCTCTTTTTGCTAATAGGTTTTCCTTTTTTGAAATAAAGGATCTTGAATTTTGTTTTCACTTCTTGTTGGTTTGCCAAGTAGTTTATGATGTAATTTTTAAAATACTTAGTCGTTTAAATCAGCCCATACACTCATAGAATCATGTTTAGTAAAGAATAATTTCATATGATATTATGTAAATTTTGGCGGATGACCATTGGCTAATAATATAATTTTTGTGCTTAACCGTTCCATATAAAAATATCCTATAGTTGAACACATACCATCTGCTTCAACTAGTGCATTATTGATTATATTGATATAAATATGTCTTCGATGATCTGATTCATAAGATTAAATGTATGATTCTCTAGCTGATTTATGATAAATTGATGTTTTTTAAATATCCATTATCATTTTCAGTGGTGACCTCAAGACAATCTAATGATTGATTGATATGGCAGTAATTTTAATGTTTAGATCTGTTTTTATTGTTTTATCGAGTTCTTTTTTAAAATTTCTTCTTTCGATTGGTTAGTTGTCATCCATCATCAATATATCTATCAATATATGTACTTCTTTTAATTTTAAAGTATAGAAAACTATTAATTGTAAACTTGCCGACCATAATTTTCTTGATATATTTTTTGATGCTGAATTAATCTTTGTTCCCATTGTAACATATAAATATTAGCTAAAACCATAGTAAACGGTGAACTCATGGCATCACCTTTTATTTGTCGATAATATTTATCTTTATAAGTAAATGAATTTGTATCTAGAACAAAGCATATTAATTGCATAATAGTATGAATTTTTAAGTATCTAATTTTTCTATTTCTTGAAAAATTTTCACAGAATCTTTCTAAAGCAGCAATAGCGCCATTACGTGGTATCATTGTATATAGATCAGACACGTCAAATATAACAAATAATATTGCTGAATAGAGTAAGAAGTTCATCAAGAAAACTTTATATTTGTCTAGATGGCGCATTGATTGAAGGAAATATAGGTCGAACTGATATTTTAGGCTATAAGGGATCAATGAAAAAATAATTATAAAGATAAATGAATAATTATTTTACCTTGTGGACTTTCAGGTTAAAATAAATATGAGCCAATTCTAATGTTTTTAAATTTGGATACATTTGTTTATATTGCTCTTTTGTGATTTCATTGCATTTGGGTAAATCATCTGATGATGGACAAATATCATTTGTGATTTCTTGATAAGTATTTATTTTTGGCAACAAATTATTTGATCTGTAAAATGGATGAAAGTACCAGTAAAAAAGTATATAAATGATCAGTTTAAAGGTTGAATGATCAGTTAAGATATTGAATGATCAGTACTTAGATTACCAGTAAAAAAAAGAAATTTGATAAGTAAAAAATGAAAATTTGATAAGTAAATAAGACAGATTTTACCAGTAAAAAAGATGAAAATTATTGGCAATGTCTAATATAGAATGAGGAAAATTAAAAATAAATTATTGCATTAGTAAAGCACGTCTTGCTTTTGCTGGTCGACCTCTCTTTCTTTTCTCACCAATCGGCACGTTTTTTGCTGCCGGTGGTGGTTTACAAAGTTTTAAACGAATACTCATCCCGATGATATGTTTGCAAATGTAGTTTTTAAGAAAAGCTGGACAGGTGCATCTTGATGTTTTCCAATCTGAATCATTCTTAATTTCTACACACCAAATATCAAAAGACTTCATAAACTGGTTGAAAGTTGTCCATTTTTTGTTTACGTATTTATTTAAATCACCTTGTGAAATAGATTCTAAATTGCCAGCTGGTATGTAATATTTGTTTGACACATCATTTTTAATACAAATAACATTTTTTGATGATTTTGCCCATTGATAAGATGTAGTCCATAAATTTAAACAAATTGTTGGTTCTGTAGCAAAAAGTTTTGTATTTATTGAAGATGGATCACGTTCAATTGACCAATTATTAATTATATTTGAAGCTACCACTAAAAATCTTGATAGAACATGACGTTCTCTAAATGTACCATCATCTTTTATTACTTTATTGGTTGCCTCTAGGGCATTGTTGGTGGAAGGTGTATAAAGTTGAATACCTTCATACCAGCCACCATTTGTTTGGATCCATTCATTATCGAAATAATTTAAAAATTCTATTATTGATTGATTTTTTTGCCTGTTGTTCATCTTCCACTTCTTCATAAACAATTCTAATCATAATTCAAATACAGTGCTTGAATAAGATAATTGAAGCATTTCAATATCATTCATTATTTCATCAGCAATAGCTTTATCATCTTATGGCAAATACGATTTTGAACCTTCCTTTTCATGTGCGACCAACACATGATTTGATTATAGTCACCTTCGTATACATTCTTAAAACCATTTTTAATCGAGTCGGCTACATCAGATATTAATGCTGATGGTTTAAGTAAATTTTTATTTATTTTTTCCAAACCAATTTGTACACTATTAAAAATAAATTCAAAATCTTTCGTTTGTTCATTGGAACATATAGCTAAACCAAATGGATGAAAAACCTTCTTCAAATCAGTTGTTCCAATTACAAGTACTGGAAATCCTTGCCAAATTAATTTATATGTTGCATCAGCATGTACATGTGATGATATTGATGCAATGTTCAACAACCGTACAGATGATAAAAATACACGAAATATATTTCCATTAATATCTTCCTCGTCATCATCTTCTTCATCGTCGTAAATTATTTTATATGAAACAACAAAATATTTATTTTCATCAGTTGGAATATCAACATTCTGTTTGCACCATTGTTCTAATTCACCTTAACTTACAATATATGAACCAAATTTTTTTTTTTATAGTGAACAAGAAAATTTTTAATTTGTGCATATGATGGTAATTCAAAATTTCTTGTTCGTAGTGCTCGAATAATTTGTTTTGGTTTCATAATGCCATCATTAAACAAATCTTCAATACATTTCTTCACATTTTCATCAATACCACGAACATTTTCTTCATGATGATCATGGTCATTTTCAGTCTTATAAACAGAAACTTGATCACTGTCTGCATGGTATAATAAATAGATACTTGCACTACATTGAGGACCACGCAGCTTTGTTTTTTTACATCTGTAATAAACTTTTCTTCCAATTTCTGAATAGTTTGTATAATGTTTTGACCATGCATTACCAAGTGATGCTTCGGCTTCACCAGCATTATCAAACACAGCTTCTTTGACCCAATATTTTGTTCTTTTTTTCTTCTTTTGAGGTTTTTCATTACTTTCTTTATAAACTTCTTCATCTGATAAATCACTTACATATTGAGCAACCTGGATTCCTTCCATATTTTTTA